TATATATATATATATATTTATATGTGTATGTGTTTGTCATCGCATATGTGTACACACGTGTGATTAAAATAATTTTAACTAATGTTAATTTAAATTATTTATTTTAATTATATAATTGAGATATTCTTATAATATGTGTACACATGTGTGATTATAGTTAACATCATTTTTTATTGAATTAAAAGTTAGGAAGTGTTTAAGTGTAGGGTTTGTTTGAATAAAAAAAAAGATTGGAAAAAAATAAATTTCTTATTAAACTTAATATTTAATTCTATAAAATATTTAATTTATATATAAACTAAATTTAATGTATAAAAATGATTATTTTAATTTTTCTTATTTTTTTCTTCTAGAAAAAACATGCTCATATTTAATGATTTTCTTTTGATGATATGTGTCTTCTACTGCCGATGGAATCAAGGAGTAGATCCCTAAATCTAGGCCCTTCATTTGAAGTTTGAACAACTGTCAATCTGGGTTTTATGTACCGCATTCATCTGATATGATAAGTCGCATTCTCATCCAACTAGTCAGGGGTTTTAAAGATGCTTTCGTTTTTCTTCGGACAAAGCATCATTTCAAATATAACATTATTTTAATAGTGCCACTGCTTCAGTTTTTTTCTCTATTATTACTCAATGGCTATGCCATATACTTCTATTTCCATATAACTATGATCTCTAGTTACCATTTCCTCTCTAAAATATAAAAATAGAAAACTATCATCCAAGGTTTTATGCTTTAGTTATATGTGTTTTGATTCATTTACATTGACTATTCTAATAAGTTACATCTTAATTTTAATATATTTTAAGAAAATCATAGTTTTATGTTAACCAGATTCTTCTTCTAGAAAACAAGTAAATATATTAGTAAGTCACACCTTAAGTATATTCTATAAAAGTTAAAGTTGCAACTAGGTATGTATATATAGGTTTACAGTATAGAAATTAATGCTATAATTCTGGAGCTAGTAAAATGTTTTGGTCGTTTCAATGTTGAAAAATCAATACTTCCCTTTTCAATGAATAATAGATATTTCTATGTATATCTATGTTTAGGTTAATTTGAACATATATTCCAATTGTGTAGGTTTAAAATTAATCCTTCAAAATCACTATTATCTAAAATTGAAGGCCGGGTTGGAGTACTTTTTCTGTTCTCATAAATTTATTTTACCTATTGAAAAACATTATAAAATATAATTGTCTCTTCATTTATTATTTCTCTTTCTTATATTTGGAAATATGGCTGTTCTTGATCCTTGTTAATTAATTTACATTTTCAGGAATCTGGTCACTCCAATTCACAATGTAGAATTGACACAGGATCCACTTCTAAATTCTGCAACAAGATACAAATGCATGCACCCACCGTTCATGTAAAGGAAGAAAGAGTTGTGAACCGAAGTGAGTAAACCTCGTGACTTTTCTCCACTTAACATCTCAATCTCAACCTATGATGCACCGATACGATACGCGTATCGGATACGACACGTATCCGATACGGCGATACGATTATTTAAAAATATATAGGATACGATACTTGTAAGATACGTGTTCATCAAGGACCAATAGTTTTATGTTTCTATATTAAACATGTTTATATATCTTATTTAGCTGTAATGGATATTTCATAATTTTTCAAAAATTTGAACACTTTATTGATACATATCACTAATAAGTATCGGTGAAGTATCTGAAAGTATCAAAATTGAATAAAATTTTTATAATATTTTTAAAGGCTAGGATACTTTATTGACACGTATCAGTGAAATATCCAAGAGTATCGTGTCGGATACATATCGGATACAGATACGTGAAGCAAGTTGAAGTATCCGTACTTCATAGATCTCAACTCATCATAACCATGTAGTATTTCGTTTCTCTTCTCTTCTGTTTATTTTCCCCTTCAAATCTAATTACTATTTAATCTGCAACATTCATCTCATGAGTTATGTTTTTCTTCTCCCAGCTCCTGAGAAGAGACAGCGTGCACCTTCTGCTTATAATCAGTTCATCAAGTAATTAAACAAAGCATTATGGTTAATTTACTAGTTAGGAATTAAAATGTGTTCAACATCTTAAGAATGTTATTGTTTATTTAAATGCAGAGAAGAGATTCAACGGATTAAGGCCAATAATCCTGATATCAGTCACAGGGAAGCTTTCAGTACAGCTGCTAAGAATGTAAGTTGTTGATTATAGTGAACCTAAAAGTTCATGAAACCAAATATAAAATACATGACATATCCATCAAATCTATGACCATAAACTACTGAAATTGTTGTTTTGCTTTTTTTAGTGGGCACATTTCCCTCATATTCATTTTGGGCTGATGTTAGAAAGCAACAATCAAGATAATTAAGATGGAGAATGTGTAAGTATTAGACCAATCTTTTTTATTTTTTATTTTTGTAGTCTAATATTCAGATATAATATACATGATTTCCACTGCGATAATTTGTTTAATTCATTTTACATTCGTTGAACTAGTGAATTAATTAATTGCACACCCAGAAAAGAAAGGGCAAAATAAATAAAATTAAGATGTGTGTGACAACGTAGGTGGTAAATATTATAGGATTTAGCATGAGTGTCTTCATCTGATGTTATTTTCTTTAATTTTATAAACAGGAATTTGGGAAGCATTTGATGTCAAGAACTGCCTATTGAAAAAATAAATGCTATTTCCATATCTCAGGACTTCGCTTTAATTTGTGTTTGTCTTGTAAACATAGCACACTTTTAATGTGTTTAATAGTTAGCTTTTTTATTTTGTCAAAATAATTTGTCACTACTTATTATTTGCTCAATGGATGCTTTTAATTACGTAAGTTGAACAATGCCACTTTCCTTTGTCATTTATTCTTCTAGCTAGCGGATTGAGATCTTAGTTCTTGGAGAAACTAGTAATTTGAGTGTTTTTAATTTTTAGTAAATTGACAAAGTTATCCCATATTTAGGTATAATATACCAATTTAACCAATTTATTTGTTTTTAGAAAGTATGTTATATGTAATTTCTGTCATGGAAACAAATCTCTATGAAGAAAATATGTGTTATGAATGTAGTATTTATTATTATTTTTTTTTATAATGAGTAAAGAATACACCAGTTGATGACAAGAGTATTATGATATGAACAAAACTTTGAGCCTGCTGCTGGCATACTTATATGTTTGCATAGTTAACTAGGACTTCCTTCAAGTAAAATCTAACTAGGTCGGGTATCTAGTGTCAATTGTTCAACTTGGTAGAAGAAATAATAATAATAATAATAATATTATTATTATTATTATTGTTATTATCAGAGTTAATCACCTATACACTGACAGTGTAAATTTTTTTTTACATTATTATTATTTCCTCTTATTCTTTGTCACAGCCTTGCAAAGATGCACCAACAGTAAGAGCCATTTTTTTAACCATTCTTTTCTTCAATATGTGTAATGAGTCAATTCTTTTGAGTTTCAAATGTTGCTTTGAACATTTAGGACGAAGTGAACCATGGAAACATGATTCATTATCAAAATTCATCTTTAGTAGACATTAAAATAAATTCATCTTTTTGGTTTTATATCAAAATTAGTAAAATTGTTATTTAAGAGTTACTTGAATTAAATAATAATATAATATAGTTATTATTAACTTTAAATTATTAATATGATTAGTAATAATTTGATAAAAAATATATAGATTATTATTTCTCAATTTATAATATGAATGTGCTTTTAAAATAATTTTTAATATATTTTTTAAAATAAGAAAAATGTATTGATATAATGTAGAATGAAAAAAAAAAAAAAAAGGAGCAATTTTGTGGCAGTTTAAAACTGTCAGAAATGTTAAATTAAGAAATATTTAGATGAATTTTGTAGGGGTTTTAAACAGCCACAAAATGTCAAACAAATCAAACAAAAATGCATTTTGTGGCAGTTTGAAACTGCCAAAAACAGATTGAATTTTCTGGCACTCAAAACCAGCGTTTACAAAATATCCGCCACAAACTTTTTTTGGCGACCGTAGATCTGACGGTTATTAATGACGTCAGTAATACCATTTGTGGCAGTTTTTAACCGCCATAAACCGTCAAAATAACCGCCACAAATCACACATTTTTTTTAGTGTCAGTAATAAAGTTCTTATGAAGTTTTTAAATAAATAAATAAGTAATATGTATGTGTGAGATCTATTATAAAACTTCAAATGAGTTATTGTAACATCCCGAATTTTCTACTAGTATAATGATTATTTATTATTTATTTTTATTTATGGAGATTATTTTCTTATACCTATTTTAATGGGTTTTATAGAATGTTTTAAAGGTTTTTAATAATTATGACTATTTTAACAATAAATATTTATGAAAATTATTTTATAATATTTTGATTTTTAGTAGCCCAGAACGGGCTGTTCTCAAATTGGAATGGGCCGTTCCAGACTACTAAAATGGCCTAGTTGGAACGGGCCGTTCCAACACATGATTCATTGAGTAAACTTCAAACACAGAACGGGCCGTTTCGATTTGGGAACGGGCCGTTCCAAATGTTCCCGTTGTGCGTTGAAACTCATATCCAGAACGGGGCGTTCTGATTTTGGAACGGCTCGTTCCAAATGTGAATTTTGGACATGAAGTATGAGTCTAGAACGGGCTGTTCCGAATTTGAAACGGGCCGTTCTGGTGACTACTGATGCCTATAAATAGAACGCTCTGTCACTCCAAAAGCACATTTTTCACTTTTCACCTCTTTTTCTTCTACACTCTCTAAAGACCAATAGGGAACCCAGAGGAGGAGACCAACAAGACCTAGCTTTAGTTTCAGCTCCTGCTTATGGAGGTAAGGGGGGACTGAGAAACCTTGCTCTGGGTGTGGGAATGTATGTTGGATAGTGGGATTGACCCTCAATCCTGTGTTTGTTGTATTTTTTTTTATGCTCATATATGAGGGGTTTTCCCCAATTGTATTTGTTTCGCCTATTGTTTTCTTATATGTAATTAATTGTATGATCTGAGATCTCTATGGGTTCCTATGGGAAACCCTAAGGGAATGCATTGGTGGTTGTAAGAGGAGATGGTTTGAAGAGGTAATTTTATGAGTTAATTGTATTGTTTTAAATGTTTATTGTATGAATTATAGTGCTCTATGGGTTCCTGTGGGAACCCTACGAGAAACAGACAAAATATGAATGTTTTCTATTTTTCTTTCTAATTGGTCTGATGTATTCCTTGTTGAATGAGATGAATGAATATGTGTTTAATTTCAAAAATAAATGATTTTTAATATGGATTAAAGTGCTTTGTGAGAATTGTGAATATAATGTGATAATGTGATAATGTGAATATGATGACGAGATATGATGATGAAATATGATGATGGAATATGATGATGAAATGTGATGATGAAATGTGATGATGAGATGTGATGATAATAATGTGATATGAGAATGCATAGAGTCTTGATTGACATGCATTATGTGCATAAATGTTTTTAAGGGTACGATATGGAATATACCGCCAGAGAAGGCCCCCTAGTGTAAAAGCTTTGGAGATTAGTCCTTTGGGATAGCTCAGTTTGGAAGTCCCAATCTTTCCCATTGTGTGCATGGGATGTATCTTGCACGGCTTAGCTATCCCGATGAGACTCTAGTAGTATGTCCTTCTAGTGAGAGTGCGCAGAGGGTGTGACCCGACATGTACTCCTAGACTACTCTTCGTGTATTGCTAGCGGCAATATGCCATGTGATATGTGACTAGCGCCACATGCATGATAAAATGTAGTCCGTGTCCATACATGTGCATTTTAATGTTATATAAAAAATTGATATGTCTTGGATGAGTGAGATGTGACGTTATTATTAATTTATCTATGTTATACCTGTTTTGTTGTGTTTGGCTATCTGGCATATATTTCTACACTATGAGTTAGAGTGAGATGTTTCTCACTCCCTTTTTTCTTGTGTTGTTTTCTTTGACTGTCATACAGGTGATTATCAGCATGAGGTTGAGGATGTTGATCATGAAGCTTGGGCTTCTATGTTGGGATTTGCTCTGATAGGACATGTGACATCGGAGCGCAGATAGGATTAAATTAAGATGTTGTTTCTGTTAAATTATTTTGAAAACCTTAACCTTATTTCTTTTATAATTACCACTAATTATGTTATTTTTTTAAGTTATGAATGTGGTGCTCTCTATCTGAACATGTTTGGTATTTTAAAAATGAAAGATTGTGGTATTCCAAATTTTATTATTTGTATTATCATATGAGGGGTAGAGGGTGTCACATTAAGTGGTATCAGAGCAGGTCGATCCAATCGGCCGTGAGTTATGTACTTATCATGATTCTGTTGTGTACTCTAACAGTGTTTTGTTTGTTATGTACTTTGATGATGCTTTGCTTTGATAATGATGATGATGATGATCTCCTTGTGTTGATATTGTTGAGTTTGATATTGTTAGATTATATTGTAATTAGAGGAATGATAGATAGTGTTAGCTAATATCATTATAACTGCTCTTCTTCATTCTTATGAGTGCTTATTTGTTTGATACTTCTTGCTTCTTGCTTACGTAAGAAGTAGTGGATGAGTGATATTTCTTGTGTTGCAAGCATATGCGCGAGTAGTAGTAGACAAGATATTGTGCTAATTAACTAGAAACTATTGGAACCTTGGATGTGGCTGAGAAATTGATTTGTCGAGTGTATTGAGAGTTTATGGTTAATAGAGTTTTTGGAATCTATAGTTGTAGTGATTGAATCCTAAGAGGTTATATGTTGAGAATTGGAGTTGAGTGTTCTCATTGAAAGGTTGAAAGGTCAATGATTTTCTTGAGTTTTGGTACTTGGATGTTAACCTTTTATGGTTTAGGTAGCATGTGAGTTTTATTTTCTAAGTCTTTTATACTGAATATGTGAGTTGTTTTGGTTTAGGATTGTAGTGTGAAGCTTGGATATGAGTCTAGGAGCATCAAAGAGGGAAGACCAGACTCCTTGGATCATGGAACTTCAAGGTTTCTAGCCTTGATGATGGTGGTGACCGAATGAAGGTTATGGAGGCTAGGTGTTTGATGAAATGCTAAAGTGGTACTATAGGTTTTTGGCTCACTTCATTGATGGATGAAGGCCACTCCTAAAGGTGAGAACACTCACAGTGAAGATGAGAAGGATAGGTGGACGAAATGACCAAGGGGATTAAGGAAAGAATATTAAGGCTCAAAGGCTCTCTTAATATCATAAACTCCAAAGTATTTACAAAGAGGCTAGCCTAGGGTATTTATAGAAGGGAGGATGCATTTAGGGTTACATTTGAGAGTGCATGGCCAAGTAATGCAATCCAAATGCACTTCAAATGAAACCTAAATTAATCCTAGATGCTACTTGGTGGCCAAGGATGGAATCTTTGAATTTGGTTAAGCTGCATCTAGGTGCATGATAAGACCATGCAACCTAGGTGCCCTCCACTTGGGCCTAAGCCTTGCCAAGTCCGAAAATAAATCCAATGCCACCAAAAAACATGTCTAGGCCTAGTTTCCAACCTTAATAAAATACCCTAGCTATAAAATAAAATCCTATAATCTAAGACACCCCATAATACAAGGGTAAAATGGGAAATACAAGTAAAAAATAAATCCTATGACTAAGACATCTCAAAATACAAGGGTAAAATAGAAAATACATGAAAAATAAATCCTATGTCTAAGGTATCCAAAATACAAGGGTAAAATAAGAAATTAAAGACAAGGGCAAAAATAGGAATAAATCCTATACTAATAAAAACTTAGGAGCTAAGACCCAAAAGTAGTCCCACTCTTCTTATGGTTTTCAAAACTAACCCATTCCTCTTGCCT